TTCTTTAGTATGAATTTCTGTCGTTATTGTTGTTTTTTCAAATTGTTTGAAATTTATTTTAGTTTATTTTGTTGTTTAGTGTCTATACTGTGCAATTCGTAGATGTTTTTTAAAGTTGAAACAGAACACTGTGTACATGGTATTATTTGAAATTTATTGTTGTTACGTTATTTTATTAAAGCGAGGAGTGCGTAGATTCCTTCCTTGCCTAAATTGTGCAATTCGAAGAATTTTTTTAGTGTTAAAAAGGGATGCTGTGTACATGGTATTCTTTGAAATTTATTGTTGTTGTGTTAATTTATTAAAGCGAGGTGTGCGTAGATTGTAGATTTGTTCATTGCCTACATTATAAGATTCGTACATGTTTTTTTAAGGTAAAACATGTCGCTGTGTACATGGATTCTTGTCAAATATTTTTGGTTAGAAACTTCACGTTTTTGCTATCTAAATTTTTTGTTTCGGATTTTTAGCTAAATCGTGTGTTCAAAACATAGTTTTTGCATGTGCAAAAACCACGTTTTTGGAGACATTTTAGGCTAAAACTTCGAAATGTAGACAAAAAATTTAGATAGTAATGTGACAGCGTAAAGTTTCTCGCCAAAAAATTTGCCGACTTGAGGGCGCATATCAGAGTAGTTCCTTTTTTTCCAAGCTAAAGCATCCTTTGTGAGTGTTTGGGAATGCAAGTAAGAATACACCCCTTCAACAATTTTTTTCTGAGCTGCAGAAATATTTCTTTTAATGTATACAGTTTCAACATAAGAAAAATAATCCCCTTTATCAGTTTGATCCAAGTAGTGAAAATAAAATGCAATAAGAGCATTCCACAGATCTTTGATTCTTTCCAAAACACATAAAATGTACACCCACCTATGGTCTGGTCTCTTCAAGGGCTAAGTTTTTTAATGGCAAGGGATTCATAGATTTTGAAAAAATTTTCTCTTTTACTGCAGCGCTATCAAAATAGATGTCATCAAACAAATTTTTTAAGTATCTTTCAAAACATGAAGCAATTTTTTTTGCACAGTTATTAGCTGTGTGACATGTGTCACCATCAATATCTAATAAGTGGGGTGCTTTGTTTGATCGTAGTCTGGTTTCAACACCCTTTTTTTTTTCCACACATGGTGTAACATGAGTCCATTAATACACTAATTATGTTTGCCCATGGAATATTATTATATTCATTAGTATTAACAACTGCTTTAAAAACAGCTTCTGAATTGCAAGATCCCATCTTTAGAGATGCAAAATGATGAACTACAACTTCATGTTGATTGTTGTCATAAAACTGCACCAATATTGCCAGTATACTTTCTTGAGCATTGCTAGTACTTTCATCCAAATTTAGAGAAAATGGAGTCTCCTTTAAATGATATTTTCCTTAATAGTTTTTGTGAGCCCATATTTCATTTTATAACATGCAGTAGTCCTGGACATTTCCAACGAGTTTAGTGCCGTCTGATCGCGGCTCAACTGTTTGCAGAGTTAATTAAATTGGGAGCTAAATTGAAAGAAAGAGAATTCTCGGCGATAAACGAAGTTATTAATACCTCTTGGCGTGCTTTTCTTGTCACTATATCCAATGGCCGAGCATCAGTCTCCAGTAAGTCATCAGTATTTTTTGAATTGGCATAATTACTTAAAGTCATTGAATGTCTAATGCACCTTGAATATTTTATGTGCGTCACAGTTTTAGAATGATTTGTGAAAGCCTTGAATCCTTCCCCACCATACTTCAGCAGTGAGTTACAAAAAACACAATATGCTTGTCCAGCAACATTTATTTTCTTGCACCATGTGCCGATGGTATTCCCATTACCATCTCTCCGTTCAATCCAATTCCACCTAAATGCATTCCAGACACCTCTTCTTCTTCTAATTGTATAATATCACTATATATATCGAGAAATTTCATAGTGAAATTCTCTTGCGTACATAAATAAAAAAATATTTCAATAAACGAAACGAAAAATTAACACGTGCATCAATAAACGAAACAAAAATTTTACACAGCGGAGAAAAAAAAAGTTGAGAAGCGATCAATGACAAATCCCCCTTTTCTACTTATTGGCGCCACGCTAGGTGAGATAAGACCTTTGAACCCAGAGTCCCGTGATCGCACATCTGGTCGAACGAAGTCTCTCCCTTTTTCTTCTGCCGCGTCTACTTGCCGAAAAGAATCCAGAAGAGAATGTCCGAGAACCGGAGAATGAGTCATAAGTGGCAATAAGGAAAGAACAAAAAAGTTTTCCCCTTTTCATGCTTTATCACTGCCTTTGGAGAAAGAAAGGAAAAGATTTCACCACACACACTGACCTTGCGTTTTCTGCTTTCAAAGCAAACAAAATTACCCAGATCAAAATAAATAATTCATTATTATGCCTACTTCCTTTTGAACGACGATCCCCAGAATTCCGGCGTTTCCCCGGAGCACAAACACCCCTGCATATCATTCGGGAGGTGTAGTCATTATCTTTGCTTAACATTTTCTGTATGGTAGAGATATTATCCGCGATTACAGACGACAATGGTCTTCCTGGGTGTTCTTCATCCTGAAGAGAGTTGAGACCTCTGCGAGATTCTGTAAACCATCTGAATACAGTAGCATGAGATGAATCTCCATTTCTAAATGCTAATTTAGATATTGAATGCATTCTTCTTGATTTAATCCCACTTTAAAATCATAGTGTAATAATGCTCTCACATCAAATTCCATTTTTCCTTCAGCCTAAAATTTATTTTAAGCTAAACTACTTGCAAATGGCCAATAAAAAATTGTCTACTAGGCTAAAATAGTTCATACTTTTGAATCTGTTTTTCTCCCTGCCACTAACATCTGTCTGCATGTATTTTAAAAATTTTCAGAGTTAACTCTATACAAATCAGTTCATGAAATGCTTAGCATTATTATACATTAACAATCTTTGAATGGAAAGGAAGTTGTAAATGTTAGCTGCAGAAAATGTAAAGAAAGCATTGATCATGCTTGTAATCTGTGATAGTTTTAGAACATTTAAATGTTAGAAAGTAACAATCAGACATATTATTTTAATTTCTGAAATTAATACTTTTTATCATTTGCCCAGTGTACCTGTAACAGCTTTCAGCAAGTGTTGCTTTTTAGTTTTTAAATATTTGCCATTTCTTTCTTCAATTTATGCTTGCTTACCTCATAAAAAGCTTTTCTCAGGGCTAAAAGTACTGTTAATAATATTTTACACTTGAATTTATTTAATTTTCGTTTTTAATTGTTTTCTTGCAAATGTGTTTTTATTAATGTAGAGTCGTGATGAATTTTAGTAGTAACCATTATCAAAAGTCTAATTCCATATTACACCCCCACAAACACATGTGCATGTATTGGACTATTACTGTACTGGTAACTACTACTGGACTATTTACATAAAAATCTGTCATATTAAATATTTATATAAAAAATGGTGATCATAGCAGATATTTTTGAACATAAATTGGTAGATTAAAAATCATTATAGCCTGGAATACACTTTTTGAAATGCTATTCGCCTTTTAACATTTTGTGAATTTTATTATTCATGTTGAACATTGTGATAGATAAATGAAAACAGAAAATACAAAAAAAAATTCTTATTAATTATGAACACAGTTTTCTGGCATTTCTACCCAGATCAAAATAAATAATTCATTATCATTCCTACTTCCTTTTGAATGACGATCCCTGGAATTTCCGGGTATCGAAGTTCAAAATCGGGTTTCCCCGGAGCACAAACATCCCTGAGAATTGGGTGCCCCTTCGGTTAGCGACAATTTTTTGTAAAATTTTAAAGATGAAATCGGATTTCTGGTTACCATGATAGTGTAACTTTGCTTTAGCCTCCTGATTTTTTTAAAATAATGTGTACATGACAAATTTAAACAGTGCGCAATCCCCAGTTTGTGCAATTCTGAGATTTTTTTTAAAGTGAAAAGAGATCAATGTGTACATGGACACAAAGTGTATGCAAATCTTTGACTTTTTATTTTGGTTTGTGTAGCAGCCATCCTTAAATTGTCTTCCTGGCACCAAAAAAGAATCGTTAAAAAGCAAGGGGCAACTAATTGTAAACTTTTACCGATTATTTAAACAATTTGAAACAAAGCACGTAGGAATTGGAACTTTTGAAAGAACTCCTGGTTTTAGCAGGACAACTAACTGAAGCATGCAGTGCATAATGTGAAGTTGAGGCTGCTGTATACTACAAAACAGCAATACTGTACATCGTTCCATCCCCAAACCTCAACGTCACTGCACATTTGTGGCATTTACTGGAGTGTAGGCAACACATAACCTCTAAAGAAATGTTCAGAATCTTTAGCATGAATGAATGGAACAAAATAACCAAGGAAGACACAAAAAAGCTGGTTCAATTTATGCCCTAACGACTCGCAGATTCTAAAGCGGCAATACAGATAATATTTGTTTTTTTCAGTGAAATCTTTTCTATTAAAAAAATTTGTTAACTTGTATATATAAAAAAAGTATTGAAGTTATTAAAATGACTATTAAAAAACTGCTAAAAAAATTCAAAGGTTGTAGTTTCTTTAGCATTGAGTTTCTCAATACTTTGAAGTTTTCCCCTTGTGTACGGAAAGTTTTTCTGGCAATAAAATCTGCCGCATAATTACGAAAATTCATTTTGATACACAAAAACATATTATTAGAATGATCTATTTTTATTCTATATATACAAATAGTAAAATTTATGAGTCGAATTCAACATCACATCATATTATTCGCACTGAACAAACATGCAACTTTCGAGCCATTTGATTCCTGATTAGCTGTAAAATATTTAACGATAAAAAGGATTCAAAAATTAATTACCATGTTAATGGCAAGTACATTTAATTAGTCTTTTAATAAAAAATGCTATACTGATGTAAAATAAACAGACATAATCAATTTTCTATACAAACAATGCATAATTTTTCACACAAACAATGACTAAACAAAGAACTTAAAAAAGTTGCAGACTTACCTGTCCATGGCAGTTATATAAAATTTTCAACTATGAATTGGAATTCTAAAGCAGAATACAAATCTTTTTAAATGTATATTCTGATTTAATTATAAAACTAAACACTTTTCGCAAACAGTTAAGAGTACACAGAATGAAATGGCGATTCTATTAGAAATCACCGGTTAAGCGCAGAGCGAAAACATAATTGCCATTTTCTCTCATACAATTATTAACCTTTAGCAAGCTTGAGGCTTACAAAGGAATGTGAACATTAATGTTTCCTGATAAGATAAATACGTAATATTCAAATTAAAAAAATAGATGATTAAATATTAAATTTAAATATGAGTTTTAATTTAACTAAAGGGCAGCACATGTTTCTTATAAGTGTCGAATGTTCGTTTAATTCTAAATATCAATATAATTTCAAATAACATTTCGTTTAACTCTAAATATCTAATAAAATTCATAAATAAATTTTATTATTATGTAATATATTAATAGAATTTACACTAATAATTCACAAATTAAAAACCTTGGGAATAATCGCATTGCATGAAGTTACATTACTGGAACTAGTTTATTAACTGTAAGAATTTTTCTGAATATTTAAATTTACGAATGGCAGTACTAAATAGAGTGAGCAGTTGTTTACATAAATCTTTAACTCTACGCGGTTGTACAGTAGGCATGTTTTCTTTTAAAATCAGCTAATCTGTATCACATTATTGGTATCCATACTAATGGTAAGGTAGAGTTCAATTTTATGTTTGCTTAAATATTTCACTGCAATGTGTTAAAAATCGCTATGTCTTTAAACTCAGAAAATAGTGTCGTTATAAAAAAAGAAGTTCTGGATGATTCAGAATATTCTGAACTACCGTGCATTGGTGTTCAGCATCACGGTGTCGAAAATGGGAAACGCAAAAGCAATCAGGATGGAATAAGTGGAAAAAGACTCAAATCAATGTTATCTCAAGGTAAAGAAATTGATATTCCAGTTTCAACTGGTTCTTCCAACATCTGTGAAAGCAATTTGAAAAATTGCCCAAATATAGATTCCGAGGAACTAGCGCATGTACTAGAAGGAATGAGCGATGAAATCGATTGTATGTTAGAAGCAACTGCAGCGAAAAACAGATTAACCTCAAAGCATGTGAAAAGTATTCTTAAGGTTTGTGCCATACGTTTTGTTTAATGGGGATTGCATATTTATTGTATTGTTATATTTTTGTGATGAACATTACTTTTTAAATGAAACTCAAGATGTTTTTTTCAGCATGTTATTACGAATGAATATGTCCTGACAATGGTTCGTAACACTATGAAATCTGAATTGAATGAAAATGAAGAACTGGATGAAGCTGTGTTTGAGCCTAAGTTAACTAGGTCAAAAGCTAAAGAACTACGAGAAAAACAGCATGTGGTAAAGAAATTTATTTATCATTTCACTGTATCATATATCACTTCACATGTTTAAAAAATGTATTGGTATTAAAATTAATGGTTAGTCTATATTTTAGGGTGCCCCTTGGATTATTGCCAAGTTGTTGTTTCATTTATGGTAACCTGAGTAGTTGAATGACATGGAAACCCTATTATGACGTGATTGGTTGCATGATTGCGAGGAATATGACTGATGGGAAAATTTAAGGGCTTATTTCTGCGTTGGATGTCTAGGAAGTACATTGTTTATTTTGTGTTGTACACCGTAAAATAGCTGTATGTGGTGTGATTAATGTGAAGTTTCTGTACGATTGGGAACAAAAGGGAAAAAAACATTAATTGACAGGTATGTAAAGGTAGGTTTATTTTATTGTCGAACAAAAAGATCGTTCAGATGGCTTTTAATGGGTTGTGCAAGAAATGCCGCCAACAGTCTGGCACTCCGGAAGATATTTTTGACTCTTATTTTTGTGAATTTATGGGGTGTCGGCAGTAGGCATATTCTAGTTTAGAAAGTTTTTGGATGCTGTTAAGGAATTTTATGTGCCACAGACTGAAGGCTCAGAAATTTCTAAATATGGCAAATCAGTATTTTCTTTTTGTAGTGTGTATATCTAATAACATGGGTAAAAGTATAGTTTAGGGTACCCCTTTGCGATTTTCGGTGGTACATGGATACCGATTTTGTGCAATTTTATGACTCGTTATTTTGGCTTGTGAAACGTCGATTTTTGCAACAAAAATCGCCGCTGCACAAAGACAAAATAACAAGACAAACAATTGCACAAACTCGGTATATATGTACACATCGACTTATTTTCACTTTAAAAAAATCCCCGAATTGCACAAAAATGGCATTGTACACTCCTTTGACTTTATCCATGTACACGTTGACTTATTTTCACTTAAAAAAAATCCCCAAATTGCACAAAAATGGCATTGTGCACTCTTTTCACTTTATCCATGTGCACGTCGACATATTTTCACTTTAAAAAAATCCCAGAATTTCGTTGCGCACTCCCTTTACTTTGTCCATGTACACATCGATATATTTTCACATAAAAAGTCAAAGGAGCACCAAATTCTACAGTATAGGCTTACACAAAAAATACATAATCTCAATAAAATACATTTTAAACCAAACAATAAAATAACATAAGAAAGGAAAAACATTTTATACATTTAAGCACTACCAAAAGCAAATATTCACTTACTATGATTTTCGAATTCGCTTCGAACACCCAGAGCCACGTAAAAATCAAAATATCAATCATACTCAAATGACTTTTTTCAAACCAGGTACTCTTTCTGATCGAACGCTTCGCATAGTGACCATCTGAACCTTTCTTCCTACAAACCCATTCAAATCCATCTAAACGGTTTTTACATTCGACTAGACGCATATCCTTCCTACATACAGGACACTTATAATAGACTACTAAGTAAACCTTCATTTACACACCAATCAATTAACGCTCTTTTCCCTTTTCTCCAAGTTCCAAATCGTACAGAAACTTCAAATTAATCTTACTACATTCAGGCCATTCTACTCGTCTAAACAATCAAAAACCAACAACACACCACACAAAAGCACTTACAAAACATCCCATGATTCAAAAATTCCAAGAATCATGCACCCGATTACGTCACAATAGGGTTTCCATAACATTCAACTACTCAGGCTACCATAAATGAAACGACAACTTGGCGATAAATTAAACAACAACTTCACCATAATACAAGGGGTACCTTAAAGTCTACTCTACCCATAACATGTATTTCCTTTTTTTATGTTATTTCATGGTGGGATTTAAAATACATTTGAGCTTCAATTCTCTGATGTTTTTTTAAGAGGAAATAGATCAATATGTCGGAGGATATGGATTTTGTGCAATTCTTTGACTTTTTATTTTGGTTTTCTGTTGTAGCAGGTGACTTAAAATTGTGGTTCGCTGGCCAGTCGCCAATTTTTGCTAGGGGCACATTGAAATATATTTTTACCAAATTAAAAATTATTTTCTTGTTTTCAGGTAATTTTTCAATGTTTTCTGAGGCCACATTACACATAAACCATGTACACGTCGACTTATTTTTACTTAAAAAAACATCCCAGAATTGCACAAAAATGGCATTGCGCACACTCTTCACTATATCCATGTACACTGCTTTTTTCTCATAAATTAGAAAAATTTCACGAAAATACATGACAATTTTCTCAATCTTTAAACCCGGTAAAAAGAACATATATGAAATTACCTGATCGCAAAAAAGTATTTACCCTTTCCAAATATGAACATTTCCACATATAAAATAAATAAAATATCCAAAAACTTTTACCTCTAAATCATCTATTACATTATACACGTCACCAACGAATTCATACCGCAAGCATTACAAATACTTAGTATCAAATATTTAAATTATTTCCATGCACGTTTACTTCAACTTAAACGTATACCAAATTCCTACAAACATAAAATTCACAAAATAACTATCATTTAATTAAAATATCACTAAACCATGTACACGTCGACTTATTTTTACTTAAAAAAAATCCCAGAATTGCACAAAAATGGCATTGCGCACACTCTTCACTATATCCATGTACACTGCTTTTTTCTCATAAATTAGAAAAATTTCACGAAAATACATGACAATTTTCTCAATCTTTAAACCCGGTAAAAAGAACATATATGAAATTACCTGATCGCGAAAAAGTATTTACCCTTTCCAAATATGAACATTTCCACATATAAAATAAATAAAATATCCAAAAACTTTTACCTCTAAATCATCTATTATATTATAAACGTCACCAACGAATTCATACCGCAAACATTACAAATACTTAGTGTCAAATATTTAAATTATTTCCATGCACGTTTACTTCAACTAAAACGTATACCAAATTCCTACAAACATAAAATTCACAAAATAACTATCATTTCATTAAAATATAATTAAATTCAAAAACACTACTTAAAATATAAATGAGCACATACATTAAATTAATAAAAATTACTTTACAATCCTAATTACTTTAAACTAAATCATTGCTAATAACAATTTTCCCAATAATACCAAATTCCTTTCCACCTTACATTTAGAACAATGCATAAAAATAATATCCTCAAATAATTAAAAATACTAACTTACCTAATCTTCTTCAGAATCTTGATTACGTGGCGGATACACTTTTCTAATTCATTCAATAAATTATTGAAAGATTTTTTCTGCGAATTTTTCCTCCATACTTCCTCCGCTAAGCAAACTTCTCTTTATCACAATGCCTAAATACCCATTTCGAATTCACTTTAGTTAGGGCCATGGGATCCAAAAATTAAACAACACTGTTTCACACAACACAGAATAAAGCTAAATACAAAATTTCCACATTTTTTTCGATTTCCCCCCTTTTCCGATTAAAGAACCGTAATTCGTCCATTAATATCACATGACATATCCCATGATCTCTCATTTCCCTCACGCAAAATAATGCGTAATCGGAACTGAGTACTGCTCACATTATTACCAAAGTCCCAGGTAGTAACCTTTATCGCCTCCAAAATGTCGCCAAACTACCAGTTACCATATTGTAACATTTTTAATATCCTTTCACACCACTTTACCCTGTTCGAATTCACTTTAGTTACGGCCATGGGATCCAAAAATTCACAAACACTATTTCACACAACACAGAATAAAGCCAAATACAAAATTGCCAGATTTTTTCCCGATTAAAGAACAGTAATTCGTCCATTAATATCACATGACATATCCCATGATCTCTCATTTCCCTCACACAAAATAATGCGTAATCAGAACTGAATACTACTCACATTCTTAACAAAGTCTAACTAACCTAATCTTCTTCCGAATCTTCCTTACATGGTGGATACACTTTTATTATGGATTCAATAAAATTACTGAACGATTTTTTTTCCAAATTTGAATAGAATTTGATAAAAAAAAATTCTCTTTATCACATCTACAATTCACTTTAGACAGCGCCATACAATCCCAAAATTATTCAACCCTACTTCACACAACACACAATGAAGCTTAATACAAAACAACATACATCCACAGATACTTGTCCAAATTCCCCCCTTTTCCGATTAAAGAACCGTAATTCGTCCATTAATATCACATGACATATCCATGATCTCTCATTTCCCCACACAAAAATGCGTAATCAGAAACTGAGTACTGCTCACATTATTACCAAAGTCCCAGGTAGTAATCTTGTCGCCTCCAAATAAACTACCAGTTATATTGTTCAACCTTAATTATTTGAGGATATTATTTTTATGCATTGTTGTAAATGTAAGGTGGAAAGGAATTTGGTATTATTGGGAAAATTGTTATTAGCAATGATTTAGTTTAAAGTAATTAGGATTGTAAGGTAATTTTTATTAATTTAATGTATGTGCTCATTTATATTTTAAGTAGTGTTTTTGAATTTAATTATATTTTAATTAAATGATAGTTATTTTGTGAATTTTATGTTTGTAGGAATTTGGTATACGTTTAAGTTGAAGTAAACGTGCATGGAAATAATTTAAATATTTGATACTAAGTATTTGTAATGCTTGCGGTATGAATTCGTTGGTGACGTGTATAATGTAATAGATGATTTAGAGGTAAAAGTTTTTGGATATTTATTTTATTTTATATGTGGAAATGTTCATATTTGGAAAGGGTAAATACTTTTTCGCGATCAGGTAATTTCATATATGTTCTTTTTACCGGGTTTAAAGATTGAGAAAATTGTCATGTATTTTCGTGAAATTTTTCTAATTTATGAGAAAAAAGCAGTGTACATGGATATAGTGAAGAGTGTGCGCAATGCCATTTTTGTGCAATTCTGGGATGTTTTTTTAAGTAAAAATAAGTCGACGTGTACATGGTTTAGTGATATTTTAATTAAATGATAGTTATTTTGTGAATTTTATGTTTGTAGGAATTTGGTATACGTTT